AAACAGTTTTGACAAACGGCCTCTAAATCAAATCTGACACATAATTTTGACAATACATACTCCTTGCATACCAATTTAATTGAGCATCATTGACTTGAGACCATGAGTCGTTCTTCTTGCATATGTATCGTACCAACTTCTTGCATACCAATTTCGCAGCACAATAATGGTCTTGACTTACACTTTTATTATGAAGGTTGAAGCATCACATGATTGGTGGATTTAGTTGTATATTGACATTTTTATACCGTGTTGTTTTCTTATTTTTACTAGCTTTCACATGCTATCTGCTATTATTAAAATTATAGTAATGTAAAAGTGTACCTTAGACATTCTACAAACCAATGAGTAATTATGTTATCAATGACCACCATTATCTTCGTAACACCCGCAATTGGAAAGTTTGTGTGGGTTAGAAGTTATGTGATCATTCTTCTTCTGGAGGATTTTAATGGTTAATTGAGAAGTTTGTACGGAGAATGAGTCAAGTAATAATAAGATTCGCAATTTCATGTGAGACTGGTAGTATGGAGCGTTATAAGGGCCTCGGATTTGAGCTCGGATTCAAGATCTAAAACTCCAATGAGAGGTTATTTGTAAAAATATAATCTCTACAAAGATCAAAGACTCACTCACTATCTATCAGTTAACTATTTGACCAGTGCCAAATCCCTCACAGATGGGTATCATCCTTTCATATGGACATCCTTTTACAAATGGGTATCTTTTACAATAAAAAAATTTATTGAGTAAAAGAATAAAGTTAGATTTAAAAATAATATTCAGCTTACTTTGATGACTTTTCCAAAAGTGAAAAATTGTTCAAATTTTGATTACTTCAGCCTATTTCCAGACATCTCAATGTACACATCAAATATAAATATAACAAATTGGTATTAATTTCAAATTGGTATTTGAAAATTTTAACTGACTTAAGTACTTATTTTCAAATTGTTCAAAGGTTGTACACATAGACATGGACCCGGTCCAACCGGCCCGGGAACCGGCCCGGGAAACCGGTTCCGGTTCCGGGCCTAGGCCCGGCCCGAGGGGGTAAGGGAGAGCGGTTCTGGTACACCAAAAAGACGAACCGGCCCGGCCGGTTCATGCCTCTTTTTTTTTTTTATTGGGTTTGGGCTGGGTTTAGGTGGGCCGGGTAATTCTGAGGGGTTTGGGGGGTGGGGGTTGAAATAAATAAGAAAAAAAAAACGGAACCGGTAGCCTCTTGGGCCGGTCCCGGGCCTTACCCAAAACCATCCAAGCCCGACCGGGCCTAGGCCTGAACCAGAATCGGACCAGGCCCGGTCCACCACTATGTACACATCACATAAGAGCCTATATTCAGTTAATATTTTACTGAAAATATTAATAAGTACTTATTTTCTTTTTCTTGAGTTGAATAAGTACTTATTTTCAAACAAACGAGTCATTAGACATCACATATAAATTTTCTTGTCAAGGATTGATACGTATTATAATAAGAAGTGCATAAACTATGTTGATTTGATTAAGGGATAATTTGAGTTTGCACTCCATATTATTGTTCAAATTGGACTTAGCACCCCATTTTTAACAGACTTTGTTTTTGCACCCGAACTACATATGAAAATACAATAATGCCCTTGTACAGGAATATGTTGAAGGTCAACATAATTGTTAATGGAGAGATATTTTTGTCTTTTCATATGAGGTTGAGTGCAAAAACAAATTTTTTAAAATGGGATGTGTTGAGGTTTTGTCCCGTAGATCCGGAAGCCCAACATAAACTTCGGATATTAAGGACGATGGATTCGGGATAAACAAAAATAAAATATATAAAAGTGTATGAACTATCTATTTTTACGTGGAAACCCGGAAAGGGAGAAAACCACGGGACTTTTTAGGCTAACGTCCAAGCCCGCTCTTTCTCATTACTATCCTCTCCTCACCAAATTACATAGTACAATACTTGAACTCCATTATTGGAGATCGATGCTAGCTACAAGAGAGCAAGAAAAAAGCAGTCAAGAGGAGGGAGAGCCAAAAAGAGGATCCCCACAAATGGGAGCCCTCCTCCCTATTTATAGGAAATAGGGGAGGGTTTCTGATGGGCCAACGGGCCTAACGGGCCGAGAAGGATCTAATGGGCCGAAGCAGGCCGAACTGGGCCTCGTCAATTGGCTCCGTATCGGGGTGATGCTTTGGGCCCCTGAACAGTAGTGGGTCGGGGTAATATACCCAACAGGATGCAAAGTCCAATTTGAATAATAATACGGGTGCAAACTCAAATTATTCATTTGATTAATATTCTTACATCTTAAAAATAGAACTGTCACACCATTCTATTCTTAACTTTTAAAATAAAAAGCCCATTTGCTGGTCAGGACTCGGGAAAGCAATCACTGCCTGGCGCTAAATGGCGCCAAATGAAATGTGCTTCTTTTTAAATGCTACATTGTCTTTTAACTTTCAACCCTGTATTCATTTATTTTAACCCAAATTTTGTTTAGAACTACTTTTAAGTTTTAACATGCCATATTACATTGTAGTTAGTACATCGTTTTGAAGTCCAAAACTAGTTTATCACTTAAACCTCCGTATCATAAGACTTGGTTATATGATGGAATAAAGTAAAATGTTTCACTAAACCGTCTGCACTTCTTCGTTATGAAACAACAGTTAGTCCATGTTATTTTCGATGTGTTTTTCACTATGGATCATCCGAAAACAATTTCTCTGTGCTTCAGTACAAGGGTAAGGCCACGTACATCCGACGCCCCTTACCCCACCATTGGTGTGAGCCTTGTAACAATGGGGTAATGATGATGATGAATGATGGTCAAGTTTGAAAAATACTTTCATTGAAGTATAAACGTTACAAGTCCCACATGAATATAATAACAAAAATCATTGTCTAGACTTTTAACATTGATAAAAAATCAAATGGGCCAAATTTTATGAGAGGGGAGTAATATTTATCACACTTATCATTTTTAATTTCCAAGATATAAATTACAAGTTGTTAGATAACTAACTGGTAGCTACTGCCTACTAGCTAGCTTCTCCCTGAGTTGCTTTAGAAACGTTTGCTTAAAAACTATTACTCCGTATTCATTATTTCATCAACTTTTGCCTAACCAGTACACTCAAAATACTTTTATTTGCCAAAACTAACTTCTACTTTTAAAATATCTCTTAGAAGCACGCAAAGAAGCAGACACTCCCTGTCAACATGACCGTACAACTAAATGGTTATTAACTTGGTTGCTTTGTTGGCATCAATACATGATCAAGGTTAGTACTTGGTATTATTGACAGTTAGTGATAAGAACAGAAAAATAAAATCAAACGGGGTAACCCGTTGCCCAAAATAATCAACGGCTGGATCCGTTGCCCGGAGCTAAATAGCTAAAACCAATATTATTAATGCCTGATTTGAATAAGCCTAGGCAGGGGTTTATATAACCCTTACATCCAAAACTGAATAGGAAACTAAATCTTAGTAAGAAACATAATAGGAGTCCTAATTAAACCATTCAAGGAAACTAAATAGAAATAGGAAACCTCTAATTAATAGAAGTCCTAATTAAATCATACTAGGAAACAAAATAAATTAGGAAACAAAATAAAAGGAATAATTAAAATTAATTAAATTGCTCGCAGCCAGCCCACGAAGGTGGGCTCAAGCCCGTCCCGCCCCATGCTCTTCCCGCTTCATATCAATCCATCCTCCTTCAAATTAACCTTGTCCTCAAGGTTGAAAACTCGCGGATCGGGAACTGAAATTTCCAGACATAGGATAGACTGGAAAATATCCTTCTTCTCTTTCCGGGACCTTTTCCTGCCCGGTTATTTCACAGAATTCATGCTACTTGAGGTCCAACTCTTCATCCTCCTCAGCTATCATTACCCGCAGCTGCTTAAAGGGACAGTCATGTGTTGGTGTAAATGGTTTCTTGCACCTAAAGCATAATCATTTCGCCCGCAGTTCTGCAAACTCTTTCGGCGGAAGTCGAGTGAACTTAGAGCGTGTCGTAGGCTGCCCAGACAACCCTGACTTCGTCCCCGGAGGCTGTCCACTATCTTTCACAAAGCTGCCCTCCGAACCCTGTAAGCTGCCACCAATGGCAGTCAACGGCGAACTTGTGTTTGCCCTTAAAAGGCTGCTAGAACGTACCCCTGATGAATGATAATTCAGGCTGCCACTTTCTCCACTTTGGACGGACAGATTATACTCCACTTCGCGAGCTAATTCCATAGCCATCTCCAGGTTGTTTGGTCGGAGCAATCGCAACGAGCTTCAGATTATCTCCTTAAGACCACTCATGTAATATCCCAAATAGTGCTCATCGGGTAACCCTAGAACTTGGCTTGCTAGCTGAACAAACAAGATATTGTAATCTTCTATAGACCCAATTTGCCTAACTCCGGACAATTGTTCATACTTATTCCCCTGAAATCGAGAATCAAATATGTCCGCCAAGGCTTGCTTGAAATCTGCCCAAGTCATCCCAGGCCTGCGCGATCTCAGCCAGGTCACCCAGTAAAGCGCTCCTCCTTCCATAGCTACCATCGCGGCGGCCACTTTCTTTTCCGGTAAAGTGTTGTGTAATTCAAACTGTTGCTCTACCCGAGCGATCCACCCAGTTGGGTCTCCACCATCGAACGACGGAAGCAGCGTTATAGTTGGATTGCTCAGCACGCCTTCTCCATGCAGCTCGGTTGCCGGGATTCGACCCACGTCATCCGTGACTTTCTTCGGTGTGACCGGCGGGACCATCGCCTAGGTCAACGCCGCTAGTGAGGTGATGATCTCCGACAGCTTGCCACCATGCTCTGCCTATTCGGCCCTTATCCGGGTCACTTCTTCTCTCATACGAGTTTGTTCGTTCTCCATCTCTGTCAATCGATCATTCTGAGATCTCGTCATCTTGGCAGGACGGGATCCGGCAGGTCGGACCAATTGATAAGAACAGAAAAATAAAATCAACGGGGTAACCCGTTGCCCAAAATAATCAACGGCTGGATCCGTTGCCCAGAGCTAAATAGCTAAAACCAATATTATTAATGCCTCATTTGAATAAGCCTAGGCAGGGGTTTATATAACCCTTACATCCAAAATTGAATAGGAAACTAAATCTTAGTAAGAAACATAATAGGAGTCCTAATTAAACCATTCAAGGAAACTAAATAGAAATAGGAAACCTCTAATTAATAGAAGTCCTAATTAAATCATACTAGGAAACAAAATAAAAGGAATAATTAAAATTAATTAAATTGCTCGCAGCCAGCCCACGAAGGTGGGCTCAAGCCCGCCCCGCCCCATGCTCTTCCCGCTTCATATCAGTTAGACACTGAAACTATGCACAACACCTTACAAGTGGGCACAAAGGGTCTATGTTCTCCTATAGCACACGAGCCCCTATGTCTATCAAGGACTTCCTGGACAGGTTTATGATTGAATTGGCAATAACTCTAGCACTGGACTTCATATAACCGCCTGAACATATTAGCACGAGAAATATTGGTCAAGTTCATATGTATAACAACATGGGAAAGATAACCAAAGGACAGTGAAAATCTAAAAGATACAAGAGATACTACGGAACATAATCATAAACCTGATGTAAGCATCAAAAGAGGGATATTTCTCCCGCGAGAAAATCTGAATATTCTTTCATCCCTCGCGGCTATTCCTTCCGGACTAATCTGCATTGAAAATAAGCATGGCCAAATTGTTTTTATTAATATATTTAGCATATGAAAACTCACATATCTGATGAGTACCACTCTCTAGCCTGGCCTGCTTGCCCAATCATATCTGGTCTGATCTCATTAAAATAAGGCCTAAATTAAAATTAATTGACAAACATATGACTTTTAACATGCAGTGACGGTCGTGACTATATTGATGCTCAGCTTTACACTACATTACTACAAGTGATCATATTGGTTTTTTGTAGGCCATATAATCATGCATGCCCATGGGTTTTAGTTTAATCGAATTAGTGGAAAAATCACAAATATGAGAAGTAATAACTATTTAAGCGAACAAAATAAGGTGAAGAGAGCACTTCCGTCTTTGAGAAGATTACCTTCAATCTTCCAAGAGGATCGCCTTCCAATATATCAGTGCCAGCATTGTACACAATTAACTCGGGGTTAAATCTATGCTGAGCAACCTGCAGATTCATTATGATGATCATAAACTATGACCAACATTCTCTCCATGACGATTTTCTTTATTACAAAAAACTATCAGCAGCCTTTCATTTTTCTGAAAGAACCAAATGCAATACAAACCTCAAGTGCTTCATCTAATTTACTCAAGTAGGCTTCGGTCTCAGTCCCACTCTGTCAAAATTCACTTGAGAAAAGTTAAAAAGTCCAAATTCAAGAGAAAACACAGTCATCACTTCATCTTCAATGATGGGACATTAACTCTAACCTGAACTTCAACCTTCTGATCAATGTATCTCCTGGCTCCAAGATCCTTAAAGAACATGTCACAAATCATAAAGATGAATGTGCTACTTGAGGCACTAATAAAATATTGAGGGTGACAAGATAAAAGAGATGTAAAGCAGGAGAAATAATTCAATGGTGGTATGGGGATGCAAGCTCTATGTCTGACAATGTTTAGGTTCACATTACTGCGCACCCTACTATTTTCCCACCAAAGTCAATCATATATTCCTATCAGTTTCCTGTGTTGTGATTTCTCTTAATACTACTTATAAATTAAGGGTATGTTTGGATTTCAGAAACTCAAAGGGAACGGAAAATGTTAAAGGAAAATAGAATGTTATGGGATACGTAGAACACTAGTACTATTTTTATATGTTTGATTCTACCTTGGAGGTGATAAATTAAATATGACCACTTTTAATGTTCTTTAATAAATACTTAGATGTCATAGCTTTAAATGATATCAATAAATTTGAGTAAAAAAAATGACATCAATAAATAAAATGATCTTTAACAAATATGTAAAATAAATTTGTCAAGTGAAACTCTATATACGACCCTCCCTCCCCCCCATCCCCCCCCCCCCCCCCCCCCCAAAAAAAAAACCATTTTCCTCTCTATTTTATTCCCTACCACCAAAGCATGAGAAATCTTAAGTGAAAGTATGAGGAGGGAACTCACCATTGGATAAATGCCAGGGTTATACATGTCAAGAATATAGACCCTTCCTGCCAGTATTAACGCAAAGTTCAATTAATAAGAAAAAAGCCACACAAAGCCCAAGGTTCTAAGAATAAGGGCAAGAATCACACCGTCGTTTGCAAAATCAATTTCATGACCATTTCCTTGATGAGCATCCAGATCAATAATCATCACTCTTAAAGAGTAGAAAAAAACTGATGAATCCTAATGCAAAATCAACATATAGCTGAAAAGTTTATATTGGGACATTGTTGTCATCAATACCTTGATATATCTAAAGAGACAAAGGCAAACTGAATGCATATAGTGATGTCTGCATAAGCACAAAAACCACCTCCCTTCTGTGCAGAGCAATGATGAAACCCACCACCCACATTGATTGCCCATCCACGTTCTTTTGCAAGCTTAGCAGACAAAACAGTTCCTCCGACCTATTCAAAACTGCTTAGCTAGTGATTTGAGACATAGTTTGTAAAGAATTGGAAGGACTACGACACTTTATTTCACCTGCTTGCGGAAAGGCTGAAGGACTTTCTTTTGCACAAGCCAATTAGGTAGAAGTGCAACCGGTGGAACCTATAAAGTTGTACCACGATTTAAAAGTTTATTGCTTGACAGAGGTTCTTTTGGTTCCAGATTTAGTCCATGGAAGTGTTACACAAGAAACATATTGGGTTCTTTCAAAACCTCACCTCAACAATCATAGACACATTTAAGCTGCTTTTTAAACTAGCCAAGTATGACTCTGAATGTACCTGCCACCAAACCACAGTTTCTTTGACATACAAATAAAATTTTTAGCACATGAACGATGCATTACATTCAAGCACGGTTCACACCATCATCATCATTACCTCAGTGCCGCAAAGGCTCCCACCTACAGTGGGGTAAGGGGGGGTCGGATGTACGCAGTCTTACCCCTGTACTTAAGGGTTACATTCAAGAGACAAATGAACAATGTTTACTTAGTTTCATCATTAGGTCAGCTCAAGATCCAACTAGGCTCACCTACTATGAAGAATAATACCACATTTTTGGCAATAAAAGAGGGTAACAGTCATAGAGAACCCTGGTCTAAATATGATTGAAATTTGGAATTTTGGGCAATTGGACTACTTGACCAAGATCCAGCTGATCATAAGGCCTACATGATCACATCCATTATGAGCCTGTGAAATTATATATCCTCCCTCAGCAGTCAGCAGAAACTTTTAAATCCAGTATTTGTGATCCTTTATAAATAGTGTTCCTACCAAACAACTATTAGGTCTGCAGATCTATGTTTCCAGGATCTCATGTCCCCTCCTCTTCCCTAATACACTCACTATAGATCAAACTATGCCTATAAAGTTCAGGAATAGGTCTGCATTAAATTTTTTGATGGGCTCGTGATAGTATAAGCAAAAATGGACACACCAATACAAAGGAGAAGGAGAATAAAATAAAAAGCTAAAATGACCCTAAAAGTTCAAATTTTCAACATTATGTTTTCACAGATTAAGAAGCATCAATGCAATAAAAGTAACAACTACCACTAGGAGATCATCTTTGGTGGCTTCCAGAGGTTCAACTATTTGCTTCTTCTCCAGGACTTTATCTTCAGTTAGAAACTTGCATATGCGACCCCATTTAGAAGAATCAAATGGGTGCCTGACAAACAAAAAGGAAGTTAACTACATAGGTACACATGGATCACTTAACAGTCACAATCTAAGGATATAAAAAAAAAAACAGAAAACAATATTTAACATAAACACAGTATATGTGCATGGGTATATAGGAATACTTCCTATCGACAGGTAATTCTATTGGGACTGTTAAGGAATACTCCCTCTTGTCCCTTTTTCTTGAATTTCACTTACAGAGGATATAAGGAATGCAAATGGTGAGGTTGAAATTTGTGTAAAAAGAAGAAAAGCATTTTCAGAAAATGGCATACCTTTTAAAAGCGGTGCAATAAGGAAAGTTGGGAAAATAAAACAGGGGCGGCTTACGGGGTTAAACAAACTATGGGGGATGGGGGCTTAAACAGGGTCCTTACAGCTTTTCTAGGCCAAGAAAGGCAATGTCGTATGAAGACGAGTAGATAACTGGAGCCTGATTCAACATATTACAGGTCATATATATACATACATATTTGTTTCTCCGAATTCAAGTAAGAGGGGAATGTTACCTTAGACGGAGGCACGTCGAAATAGAGCTTGCTCGAGAGGATTCTATCTCGACGGACGGATTCGACGTCTTCTTCTTCTTTTTTGGATGTCTCAATAGCAGAAGAAGGGCTGCCGGACGATGAAGACATCGGCGGCCTTCGGCTAGAGGAGTAGAAAACCGAGCAGCTGTGGATTACGTAACTGCTGTTGATAGGCAGAAAGTCACCAAATTGAGGAAAGCATATTAATCAACAAGGAAAAGCTTTCTGCTAGAAAGAAAGAAAGAAAGAAAGAAAGAAAAGGATATGATACTTTGATTTCAGACCGAAACGATTGAGGGAAGAGCAAAGTTTGCTGGCAACCGGCGGGGAGATTGCAGCCGTAGTGACCCGGAATGGATGATGGATCTCAACTTGGATTCAGTTTATTGGCATGGTTCAGGAGAAATGTATTGAGCAGCCTTGACTCGGCGACTGGAAGGAACTGGACGATGATACCGGGCTGTCCATAAAGCAAACAGAGAGTGCCACGTTGAGCTGAGCTAATTCGTCAGCGGTTTAACCTGTCTGAACCGAACCAGAGTGATCCCCAGCTGGTTTTACATTACATTTTTAATCCTCCAGTTCCAATTTCCAACTTCCAAGTACAAGCTGTGTACGCGCCCATTTCTAAACACCCATTTTTTGATCCCCAGTTCCAATCTCCCAAATTAGAGCATCTTCAATGGGTAGTGGATTGGAGTAAAGTCCATCCCACGGTATAGGAGAGAGATAGGGATAGAATGATTATTTTAATATAATATAGACAAAGTGGTGTATATGAAAAATGAAAAGGAAGACAGAGATAGAAATAAATTGTAGGCAATGTCTATGACAATGTCCACAAATAGACTTTACACGGGAATCGAGGAACACAAGTGGATGAAAAGTGGGTTAAAAGTGATATAGAAAAATGAAAAACAAAGTAAATGTGAAGATATGTAGGTCCTACACGTAAAATTTGTGAGATAAAAAATAGGACTCACGTGTAAGAGAGTAGACATCCCCATTGGAGATGCTCTTTCAGATTTCACTTCCGATTTTGATCACTCATTTTTTGGCCTATTTAATACGACTAGTGACTACAAGGGTCTTCTTCGGTCCTTTCTAGTACTATGTCCAAGTTAAGGTCTTGTTTACTTAAGACTTAATGGACTATAGAATTTGTGGCTTGGGATTTACTTATGACTTAATCTAAAATACTTCGTATGACTTATTCGCTTAGTCCATTTATGACTTATTCGTTCAGTACAATTTGTTGAGTCCTTATGGTACAAACATATTAGCTGTGGAAGAGTCTCTTGTTTAACCTCTCTTTATCGACATTTCATCGCTTCCTCTGGTAGATGCTCTGTATGTCATTAGCCGCCACAGCTGTAAGGGATCTGACAACCTTCATCGGCAACACCAAATGCCGACCTTCGTCGGCCGAAGCTAATCTGCAAAGAAATCTATCATCCTCCACACCTCAGCACTTCTTCTCATTCTATATGGGTATTATTTTATTTTTGGGTTCTTCATTTTGCAGTCTCTCCTTAAACATCTGAGGTTGTATGTTTAATGCGGAGTAGTTTTTGATTAATGCCTTATATAGGAATATAGGATACGCTGATCAATTGTTTCTTGATTTATATGTATGTTGATTATGTTCAATTATGAATTATATACTCTTAACCATAGCCCTAGTTCCAAAGTTCATACACTGGAAATTTTATGGAGCCCTATATGACTCCACTATGGAGTCATATAGCATATCTGCATATGTGGCTCCATCACAATCATTCACTCATGAAGTAGGGTCCTCCACTATAAATTCACTATAGAATTGAATGGTTGTGATAATGACACATGTGATATATGACTCCATAGTGGATTTATATAGGGCTCCATAAATTTTTTGGTTCATACACACGGTCAAACTTATGTTGTTATCTAGCTTGAAACATATGGTACTCGTATCTGATTGCCGTATTTAGAGATAATATGTTATTTTTTTAAGGAGAGATAATATGTCATTGAGTTGTGGTTAGCTACTAGTATGCCACTGAGCAATGCATATAGATCTTGTTGTGCATTACTACATTTTAAGGTCTAATGCAATATTAAAATTGTAACATTTCGTTAAAAGCGTTACAAAAAAACATCCTATTGTAATGGTTTTTAATGTATTGTTACATTTATCTAGTAACCGTTACATTTGATTTGGTCTAATGTAACATTTTTATAATTTTATACCAACCGTTACCTTTTTGTAATATTTGTTACATGTGATGAAGTCTAATGTAACACTAGTGTTATTCGAACCAAAATGAAGAGAGGCAAAGGAACCGCCATATTTTCATTGAAATTTTCGACCGAACCAAATTTTATAGGCCCGCGCCCCTTCTAAGAAAAACCTAAGGCAAACTCTAAAAGGAAAAGGTGCAAATAGGCCCATGTACTAACCATAAAAGGTCAAATAAGCCCTTATTTAGGAGGCTCTGTCCGGCCGTCGTCATTTGGGGTGGTTCCCGGTTGAATTTTTTGATGAATTTTTTTGAGCATCTTATTCATTAAGTCTAGTTTACTCATACAAAATTTCAGCTAAAACTTCAATCGGGAAGGCATTCAAATGAATTGTTGAAAATAAATGCGCAGTTAGAAGCACAGTTATCTTCAAGAATTCATTTGAATGCCTTCCCGATTGAAGTTTTAGCTGAAATTTGGTATGAGTAAACTAGACTTGATGAATAAGATGCTCAAAAAAATTCATCAAAAAATTCAACCGGGAACCACCCCAAATGACGACGGTCGGACAGAGTCTCCTAAATAAGGGCTTATTTGACCTTTTTTGGTTAGTACATGGACCTATTTGCACCTTTTCCCAACTCTAAAATGTACTTCATATCACGAAACGAATAGCCTCATTTTACCTCTTCATCTGATCTAGAGAGCTGGACGACGATACTCTTCTTTTTATTCCGATTGTATTTCGTATCTACGACGGATTTCACCTCTTCACCTCTGCAGACGGATCTGGCTCTCATGCTATGAAACTTTCTCTCCGCCATGGAACAGTACACCCTTTTCATAACTAAGGTATCAAAACGAATTTCTCACTTAGATCTACGGATCCAAACAATTGGTGTGAGGTAATCCCTTGAAATGTTTAGAATTACTTTTTCCTGTTGAATTCAAAGATTTGAAAGTAAATGAAGAAACTCTCAACCTCACAAATCTTCAAACTAATTGTTTTTGGAAAATTGTCTTTTTGCTTTTTGTTGTCAAACACGATATGGCTGAATTCTTTATTAATTTTCTTCTTCTTTTTCATACTTGCTTATCAAAAGGGTTTGTGTATATTGTGTTTCAAACATCTAATTTGATGTAGAGTTGGGTGAAGCAATGATAAGGCCACTATGGGGTAACATTAAGTGAAGCACATTAGGTGTTTGTGAGCATGCCTTAATGAAATAGGAACACCAGCATGATTTACTTGGCCAAGTTTATTAAAGATAGCTAGTAAGGTTATTATTAAACTTGATTAGAATGATACGGAGTATATTATACCCAGATTTATGAATAAGTAAATTTGATAAAAAAAAGATAAGGAAAAAGATAATAATGAACTATATTCCTTGTGAGCTTGTTGTTTAGTTGAAATATAATACGCAAATGTGTAAAAATAGATAAATCAAAAGCTAATAACGAAGTAACATGCTTAAATTAAGAAGATTATGTTAGAAGCATCACTTAAGATCATATTGTGATAAACTATAAACCTGAATCTCCTACATATATAACTGTATTGTTGGATTATCATTAATTATTTATGATAGTTTTAAGTTTTGGATATTACTTACATTATTTAAAAGATGCCTGTGATGCCTTTTTTTAACAAAATTGAAATGAATCTGCTTCAGGAAGATCATCACGGACAATGATTGATAAAAAAGCAAAAAGAGTACATCTTCTTGACCTCCCTTTAGAATGAAATAATAAATTATTGCTTATAGTCATTACATTACATTTTTTACTGTATGCAGAAACTGTCTTTTGCAACAAAATGGAAGTGAAGGGAAAACTAAACTGATTTGGTGCGACACTGGTTCTGACACTCAAGGCAGAAGATTATAGCAATCTGGAAGCTATGGTATTTTATCATACATGTGTATGGTCTCATCAGTATAACAAAATTTTAGAATGATTTCTGAATCTCTCTCTTCCATTTCCTCAAGCTCACCTTCCATATGCTTGTTTTTCTCTCTAAGTAATACTACTTCCATAAGTAAGTTAGCTAGATCATTTGTACTGTCAGCATGCCCATTCATGACCTTTGTCATTTTCCAGTACCTTTTCTTGCTTCACTAGTAGCTGCATTTGAAGATCCCCTCTCCTATCCTCTCGTACATAGATGACTCTCTACTTCAGATACCCACTTCTTAAGGTTTGCATTCTCTAACTTCAACTTTTCAGACCCATGAGCCAATTCAGATTGTAAATCTTGCAGTTTTTTTAATTTCAAATAGTAAATTTTCTTCACTTTTCTTCTTTTCATCCAATAGAGTCTGCATTCTATTTGACTTCTCCAATAATATCTGATTATTATGAATTGATAATTGATTCAACTCTTCGGTGTAGCAATCGATTGTTAATTTAAGTTCTTTCTCAGCTTCTTGGAGTGAGTCCTCAAGAGCTTTATTCTTCTTTAATAACTAGTTTCTCCTTCTCATTCACATGAGATGCTATCTCAAAGTAAACCCTTCTGATTTCTTTTTGCATTCTCTCTCTTTCTAACTTTCTCTGCTCAGGCTCAGATTAAGCATCCTCTTTTTCATCTTTCAGAACTTCACACACTCACAAGATGATCCATCTATACAATTAGCTTGTGATGCCTACATTAAAGCATTTTGCAGACTTCATGTAAAACTTTAATATGACTTATGCACCTGGACAGCAATATATAATAGACTAATAATTTGTGATATGAGTATATCCATGAATGTTATGGGTCTTAAATATGAATCCAAAAGTAAAAGCTGTTGGATTGATTTAAGCAAAACAAAGCTCTAAGCTAGGGTGCAAGTAGATGTTTTCCAATGTTATGTGTTATTCTGTTACTACTAATATATTCCCTGAGAGTGTGCATATTTGTAGATGAACTTTAAAGCTAAACTGACTCTTCATGATGTTGGTTAACTGATCCCTCAAATATGCTGCAAGATCCTGTAGGTACAAACCAACATTGCAAAAAGTTTTTTTAAAGGAACTACAAAAAGAAAATTAGAAATTTAATATTCAATGTCTTTCTATTTTCTGCTAAAAATCGAAAATATCTTTTGGTTGGTTTTAATCGAAAATATCTTTTGGTTGGTTTTACTAGCAATTATTTTATAGAATAATAACATACAATCTAAAAATATGAGCCAGTCGTTCTTTTTACAAATCTTTTTTGTAGTGTTATATCATAAATGATGATGTCATATTCATTTTAAACTAAAATAGATTATTCAAGTGAGTTTATATTGT